TTAATGTTCGTTGTCGTACTTAAATTTTTTGGAATTTTTTTAACCAAAAATAACCTGTCAAACCTTATCGGTTTGCTGGGATTGCTGTTTGCCATAAAAAAACAAATATTTCTAGAAAAATTGATATTATTTTGTTTGTATTCAGGTAATTATTAAATGTTCCGCCATTTTGAAATGGGTGCAGATATTGACTTTATATTCCAGGGTTGTAGAGTATTTGTCAGGAGCTTCAAAATGATGTATCACAAGACACCCCTTTCCATTTAAATTTATTTCCCAAGATGGCGCCCAGTCGCCATCTTGAAATTTTCATCTGTCAATTTTACTCCAAAATATAGTAATCATACATTAGTTTAATTATCCCAAATTTCAATTTTCTAAGTTGATCCGTTCAAAAAATAAAAGGGGGGGGGACATTAAAGAAATGCACTGTATGTATGACAGGTTTGGCTATAGTTTAGCAGAAAGCGGCAGACTATTTTTTAGAGTTCTTTTATTTTCTGTTTTAAAATAATCTTTAAGTTTATTTTTGGAGTTTCCTTTTTATTATTTTCTTAGAATTTACTTTCTTTTTCAAGCCATTGTGGCAAAAAGACATGATGAAACACACACTTTTTACACTCGAAACACTTTATTAGAAAATACGAAAATTATAATTAAATCGCCTGTATTCGCCAGTACGCCGAGTAGAGATTCGCACCACTTCAACGCCGGTTCCACACTGTCCTCCCGTCCACCCCTTGCCATGCGCAATAGCCTCGCCGTAAGTCGCCCTCACTCGCGCCGCCTGGAATTAACTGGCCTCTTACTTTACCGCCGCTTAGCCAATCCGTCCCGTAAATCTTTTCGACGGTTTATTCGTCCATCCTGCAAAATTAAATGTCCTCATTAATTAATCAAAACTTCGCCAATGCGTTTACTACGCATTCGCCCGCCTATCACATTCGCCTAATTCACCTCGCCAGATTCAATACTTTCATCCGATTCATAATCCACCTGATTAATCGAATGATACGGTTTCAACGAATCGACCGCCACGATCGTTTTATACCGTTTATATCCTTTAACGCCTTTTATCGCCTCAATGACATATCGATCATTCGCCAGATATTTTCGCACTCGATACGGTCCGTCAAATTTGTTCATCAATTTACCAGCGACGCCAGCGCCCGCCTTTCTAGTAGCTGCCTCTCGCCAGAGAACCAGATCGCCTGGTTTGTATTTGATCGCCGCCTTACGCCTGCGTAAATCTCGCCTTCATTCTTTTAGCCGCCTGATCTATATTTGCCAACGCTTTCGCTCGTCTTTCATACACTCTCTCACTTAGCACATCATTCACACACTCACCATCGATAAGACTCGACCGACGCCGTTTTCCGGGAATCTCATCGACATCACGCATCATTCGCTCACCCTGGTTAGCGCCAGCAATTTTACGTTTTCCGCCAACGTTTTTCGCCAATTCAGAAGTTGCCGCCCAACTTTCCGCCGTTTTCGACCCAATCATCGGACATTCTCTTTGTAGTGAAAACAGACCTTTCTTAACTGAGGCTTTATTAAACAAAATGACAATAAAATGTGAATAACAATAAATAGCAACGAAATAAAAGATATTGTTACCCAGATACGGGTTAGTATTGATTATAAAGTATAAGTACGTTAGCATACTAAATACTTCACGTCATTCTCCCCGCCTGGCTAGAGAACATAAGCGGCCAAGTATTTAGGCCTCTTCTTTTCCCGTTGTGAAACACGGTTCGATTTGAAAGAAGTGTCAGAACCCGTAGATAGCGTAGATTTAAGGTTATATTTCTTCGGCGTCATGATTGTAGTATCAGCGGGATTTTCGGGGTCTTCGGGAAGATTTTCTGCAGTCTCACGTACCGAGCTAGGGACGTCTACACCGTTCTGTATACTGGGAGTAGGTGCGTCGCCAGAAGAATCCCCAGGTTCCAGAGTTTCTTTGCGAGAAATAAGCTGTTGCGACGGCGTGGGAGCCAGATGCCTAAGAGACACCGTCGTCTCCTTTCCATTCGGCAGCCGTACGTAGGCGAACTGAGGGTTCGCTTGTAGGAGTTCAACCTTTTCGACGCGAGGCTCGTACTTGTTACTCAGATTGTGGCGCCTGAGCAGCACCGGCCCCGGCGTAGACAACCATGTCGGCAGCGAAGTTCCGTTAGAAGAGCGCCGAGGATGGTCGAACATGCGCTCGTGGGGAGTAGCATTCGTGACAGTGCATAGTAAGGAACGTATGGAGTGGAGAGCATCGGGCAGGACTTGTTCCCATTGATTAGTCTTCAAATTTTTAGACCTTAGAGCCAGAGTTACGGTCTTCCAAATGATGCCGTTGTACCGCTCGCACTGACCATTACCTCGGGGGTTATAGGGAGTGGTTCGGCTGGATGCAATGCCGCGGGCATCTAGGAAAGACTTGAATTCTTGCGACATGAAGGCCGTACCACGATCAGAATGGATGTAAGCGGGGGTGCCGAAGACTACGAAGATTCCGTTGAGGTGTCTGATGGCTTCAGAAGCGGAAGTATTCGAGCAGGGAAACGCAAAAGGGAACCGGGAGTATTCGTCCACCACGGTCAGCATGTATGGTTTCCCTGTAGAACTAGGCAAGGGCCCCTTGAAGTCGACGGTGAGTCTTTCAAAAGGCGATGTAGCTTTAATTAAAGTACCATGGAATTTCAGGAATCCCGGTTTGATCTCGGCGCATGTTTTACAAGCAGCGTTCATTTTCCGCACTTCATCCAATGAAACGGCTATGTTCTTCGACCGAAGCCAGTGATACATACGTGTGATTCCAGGATGGCATAGTGAAACGTGCATCTTGAGTAAGTCAGCGCCGCTAGTAAGTGAGGAACAGACTCTGGAGATAGCGTCGGCTGCCCTGTTGTGACAGCCGGGACGGTAGACGATGTCATATTTGTATGGCGACAGTTCCAGACGCCATCTTTGGATTTTGTCGTTTTTAACTTTTCCCAACCGTAGGTTGTCGAACATGAATGAAACGCTCTTCTGATCGGTTATGAGCTGAAAGTGTCGATTTAAGAGCAGATGCCGCCACTTCCTTATAGCTTCGACGATCGCATAAGCTTCTTTTTCCACAGACGAGTGCCTTCGTTCGCTACCAGAAAGAGTTCTGGAGAAGAAGGCCACCGGTTTTGAATTCTGTGAAAGGGTGGCGGCTATCGCGAAGTCGGAGGCATCCGTTTCTACAACTAGCAAGTCACTATCGTTTATGGTGCATACCACGGCAGCTGCGATATCCTCCTTGAGTGTTTTGAAGGCTTTTGAAGCTTCTTCAGAGAGGGGAAACGTGTCAGCGTGGGCCAACGGACGAACCTTCTCCGAAAAACGATGAATCCACCGGGAGTAGTGGGCGAACAGGCCAAGGATTCGACGAAGAGATGCTACACTAGAGGACGGCGGCATGCTCAACAGCCTGAAGTCGTTCAGGATCGGGTTTTATGGTGCCGTTTGCTATATGATGCCCCAAGAGCCGTATTTCGGTAAGTGAGAACTTAGACTTAGTCTCGTTGATAGTGAGGTTGTACCGTTTTGCAATTTCCAGAAATCGCTGCAAGTTCCTGTCGTGTTCTTCGACGTCTCCGCCACAGATGGTGATGTCGTCCAGATAGGCGAAGGTGCAATCTAGCCTCTCGGATCGTATTATGCTATCGATCACCCTTTGGAAACCAGCAACACCATTGGTAACGCCGAAAGGGATCCGGGTAAACTGGTATAAGCGGCCGCCAGCTTCGAAAGCCGTAAAGGGCTTGTCCTCGTCCCGGATGGGTATCTGGTGGTAAGCGCTGCGAAGATCGATGGTACTGAAGACACGATACTGAGCAACCCTCTGGACAACGTCGTCGATTCGGGGTAGCGGAAAAGCATCTAACATCGTGAATCGGTTAACCGTTTGTGAATAGTCAACCACCATCCTCTTTTTATGATTTTCGTTTGACGTTATCAAGACTTGGGCCCTCCAGGGTGAGTGGCTTTCTTCGATGATCCCGTCCTCCAGTAGTTTCCGGATTTCAGATCTAATAAATTTGTTATCTTCTTCAGAGTATCGCCTCGACTTAGTAGCGATAGGGCGACACGACGGGTCCAAGTTGGAAAACAGCACAGCTTCAGGTACGGCGGCGGCGGCCAAGCACGACACTCGAATCGGGTCCCTTTTTCCACCGAACTGAAGTTCAAGGGAGCGATGATGCTTAAAGATGTCGTGGCCGAGTACGACGTCCGAACAGAGATGGTCTAATATTAAAAGCTTGCTGGTTGTATAGGTATGCTCCAGGATTTGCAGATCGACATAGCAGTGGCCTTTGACAGGAGCATTTAACGATGCTGAGGCCATTGAGACGCGTCCCGAGGAAGGGATTATGGGTATGTTTCTCGATTGAACGTAGGACAACGCAATAAAGCTCTCGGAACTACCAGTGTCCACTAGCGCATCCGCCCACGCGTCGCCGACCAAAATTCGGATGGTAGATTTGGTCAGTCGCGGATGAGAAGCAGCTATTACGACGGGCTCATCGATGGCAGACACGACAGTTTTCTTGACCGCAGAAGATTTACAAACTTTGGCCCAATGTCCGGTTTTATTACACAGGTTGCATACCGAGCTTTTGGCCGGGCACTTTTGTCGGGGGTGTTGATCGCCACCGCAGAAGTAGCATTTCGCGCGGCCATTTCGTTGTACCGCATTTAGCTGGGCGGAATCGACGGATTCCATTGACGAGGAATTGACACTCAACTCATTTGAAGCGTTGTAGGAGCTGGATTGCAGTTGAGCTGCTTCCATAGAACGGGCTTGGTCGTAAGCCTGTTGGAGCGATAGAGCGGCGTTCTCCAACAGGCGTTGTCGGATGGTTCCGGAAGTCAAACCGCTTATGAAAGAATCACGTATGTACTCCTCCCTATATGTCTCAGCGTCAACGGCTCTGAAGCCACAGTTCTTGCTAAGCGACCTCAAATCTTGTAGATACCGGTCGATGTTCTCGTCCATCTGTTGCCTCCGGGTGGCGAGGAGATGGCGGGCGTATACCGTGTTGACCTCCTTCACGTATATCCCGCTCAGCGTAGCCACGGCCTCGGGGTATGTGGTACATTCGGATATCAAGTCGTAAACGGCCGGAGACACGTAGTTGACGAGAAGATTGAACCTGGAGGAATCGTCGAGCGCTATGCTTCCGTCCGGCGTCTGCACTCTGGCGACTAGGGCGAAGTTCTCGAAAGTTTGCAGCCAGTGCTTCCATTCTTGCGAAGCTTTAGGAGCACCGGGGTCAGCATCGAATCGTTGAGCGCGAAGGAGTTGATCCATGAGATACGATTCTGTTTAATAAATTGTAGTGAAAACAGACCTTTCTTAACTGAGGCTTTATTAAACAGAATGACAATAAAATGTGAATAACAATAAATAGCAACGAAATAAAAGATATTGTTACCCAGATACGGGTTAGTATTGATTATAAAGTATAAGTACGTTAGCATACTAAATACTTCACGTCACTCTTTTAGAGTGTAACCTGGCACTTCGACTTAGTGCATTCGCCTGACTTCGCTCAAGTCTATCCGCCTCGCCCCGCCCGTTACCCTGACGAGTTCGGTCGTCACCTCGCTCGTTCAGGTGGATGGACTGCTCGGTTGAATCAGTTTGATTCCGGTTTGAATTCGCCGAGTCGGTTTCCGCCAAACTCGCATTCGCTATCGATTCCACCATCGATTCCGCCAAGTTCGCCAAACGCCTGTCTGAGCATTCAACATCCAATGAGACATTCGCCACGTCTCCTCGACCATCGCCGGTCTGACCACCGCCGATCTGGCCTTCGCCGGCCCGCCCGTTAGTGCTGATCAGCTCGCCACTCGCCAAGTCGGTTACTCGTCCGTGATTGTGAGAGAACATTAAGTGAGTAGGAAAGAAATGCGTGCTAGAGTTGACGGTGTAATTCAAACCCCATACAACATCCGGCAGCTTCTCGTCCCATCTCCCCTCGCTCTCCACAGTCGAAGTTAACGCCTCAACTATTGTCCTATTTGGTCTTTCCACCTGACCATTCGCCCTAGGAGTCGCCACAGCATTCACCACATAATTAACGCCCTTTTCTACCAAGAACGCCCTGAACTCTAAACTAACAAACACCTTGCCCTGGTCAGAGATCAATCGCCGAGAATAGCCGAATTCGCTGAACACCTCGCGCATCCGAGCTATAGTTTCCTTCGCCTTGTAACGTTAAAATTTTACCCCTTCAATAAAACTACAAAAAATAAAACGGTAAATATATATTTCGTTACTTAGGTGGATGACTTGAACATCCGGGCACGCGGCTATACTCAGATGAGACGGGAGTGAGTCAAAATTAAATGATATTTAGATATAAAACGGGCGCCAGTTAAGTTGACCAAGTGCCCTTAACAATATAATCTTATATCAACTCCCAACTTAACAAGGAATTGATAGTACACACTTTTCGTAACTCTGTAGGTATTTAATTTAATACAATAGCGAGAGAAATAATAGAATACAATACAAAAAAAATATTAAGAGAAAACTAAGAAATAGGAAGATAGTTATTAAGAAATTCCAAACAGTACGAGATAGCAGTCACGGTATAAATCAAATTCGACTTACCGATGGTGATCCGGTCAACCGGATGGTTCAAAGTAAAACGAAGTTCTGCGAAGTCAATATACTATAGCGATACAGCTGGGTCCTCCAATTGATCGATCAGTTGTGGTCCAGATCCAAAGAAATATCTATAATTCACAGAGTAATTACTAAACGGTAAAGGCGAGTCGAATTTTCGTTATTAACAAAAGAAAATTAATTAACTATCGTACTGAATTAGAATATGATTTTAACGATAATAAAATTGATACTGTACGTGAAGATGAATTTAACAATAAGTAAAAGAACTTTAACTACGATAAATTAAATTGAAATAAATGATTATAATAAAACTTCTCCGAAAACGGCGGACGGATCCCACGTGGTGAGCCTCCTAAGGTTCCTGGTGACGGTCTGGGTGTCACAGAAGAGTGCAGATACTCGGGACAACAGGTGAACCTTGTCGAATCAGCTATCGGTCGCAACTACAGACGGTCAAAGTGACGCAGGAATCGGTCCCAGTTCAATCGGAAGACAGTTAAATACGAATAACCCCACGGAAGATCCAAGGAAATACGGATTAGAAAATCCAACTCAAAATAATAGTGGTAATAAAAATTGATCCTAAGAAACACACAATTAACGATTGCAACAGGAAGGAAGACAAGACTTACCCCTAGTATTCTAAGTCGGGGATCGAAACGTGGTTGATTTGGTCAAGAGGATATACAGTGATAGAAAATTTTTCGCGCATAATAGGGAAATCAATGTTAAATTCTTAGCCGGCTGAAATCCAATCTACCAGTGTACATTTCAATAGAACGTCGCGATCAATTCTAATAAATTTAATTGTTCCACTGGACCGCACGCCGCGATTTGTAGAGGTACAAAGTTATTTGTGTTAGGTATGAGGTACAAAATTATTTAGAAACTACAATTAATAGGTTTTTTGGAGATATTTCAAAAAAATGTGTGTATCGGTAGGTACAGTTTTGAAATAGCAACAAATCTTGTTAAAATAAGGAAAAATAAGGAAAAAATAATTCAATTTTCTTAAAATTACACCTCAGCTCAGTAATATGAGATGACATCTGTATGACAGGTTTGGCTATTGTTTAGCAGAAAGCGGTGGACTATTTTTTAGAGTTCTTTTATTTTCTATTTTAAAATATTCTTTAAGTTTATTTTTGGAGTATTCTTTTTATTATTTTGTTAGAATTTACTTTCTTTTTCAAGCCATTGTGGCAAAAAGACATATCTACATAATTCTATTTTATTATTAGTGATATTTTTTCAATAAATTATCGTTTAAAAATTCTCAATTCTTTGTAATCGACTCGACGTTCACCCATCCGAACCCGTTTTGATACTGTCGAAGTGTTGAAACCGTCGAAATAATTTGATTTTTAATCTAACCAAGCCAAAGCGCAGTGTGAAATCCAGTAGAACAATTAAATTTATTAGAATTAATCGCGACGTTCTATTGAAATGTACACTGGTAGATTGGATTTCAGCCGGCTAAGAATTTAACATTGATTTCCCTATTATGCGCGAAAAATTTTCCAACACGGTAGATCCCGAATAACGGATTTAACTTACGTTAACGCCAAAAATACACGGCAAATCAAATAGCACAAGGCTCCAAAAAACTAACGAAGTTAAATATTTTCAGACAGACCGTAGAAAATCCGAGATGTTTCCCGATTACTAAAAATGTAATACCACGAGTCTGTCCGCCTCGAAGACCAAAATCAAAATGGAACCAGCGGAACCACGGAACAACCTAAATAACCCTTCAGAAGTGTCAATTACTCAGAACACTAACTCGTCAAGAACACAAAGACAAATGTCAATAACAATAAACAGAAGAATTTATTGTTGGACAAACGAACGTACTCGTAGAATAATTAACCCTAGTTATCCTAAAAGGTAAACAAATCTTCAATACAATCAATTAGTGAATTTAAAATGTGTAATAGAATTAATGATTATTGTGGGGAGATTTTAGAACGTTACAGACCCCCTTACTTCAAGAAAATTCACCAGGTGAATTTTCACTAACGCTAGTTAGTAATCAGAGTAAGAAAATACACTTCAAACCCAAAAAAATTATCTACGCTCCGAAGTATAACACTTGTCAACTTCCGTTGCAAAAAAAGATAATATAAAAGAAAATAGAAAATTCAACCAAGAGAGCAGTTTAGACGTCAAGACTGAGATAACCACAAAAAATATACCCTCAAAATAAATTTTCCAACACTACACCCAAATTTTCAAGTCGAAACTTGGGACTTAAGACGACAAAAAAAAATCGGGACTTTTCCCGGGAACCCTGTGTGTTGGAAACTACCCCAACAACACATTTCGAGATGAAACTCGGGGATGGAGAACGAAACCCAGTCCGTTATAGTAGGACCAAACTAAAATACTTCGGTCTCTCTGCGTCGACCAACTCCCGCTGCCGTCGCTGTTGAAGAGAGTCTCAATGTACACTTCCAGGGGCGACCTCCATGAGAAGATGTTAAATCACGGTCGTGGTTACACACTCCTGGGCCTCACACCATACAGCGTACAAAGGTCCTTTCTCCCTCAGCAACCACAACGATAAGTCAGTTGCGGCTTCGAGACCTCCGTAAAGAAAACAAGGGAAAGAAGCGAATGGTTACTTGAGTCACGGTACTGTAGGAACATCCACAGTGAGTCATGTCAGACCATCTTGGTCCGATACCAGTAGTGAACCCCCGCATAGTGATAGTCTCCCGTAGGTCGCTACCGGCAAGTAATTCACCCCCCAACACCGAACCGTGAAAAGGCATTTCCCATTTAAAGGAGACCCACTGTACCGTCCCCACACCCACCGCTACTCAGGCCCGTAACAAAACAAAAAAAGAGGGATTTTCGGGACGTTGCCCGGGAGCCTGAAGGGCACCCAGCGTGATGTAGTCCACGCCAGACTAAAAACCAAAAAAAAAAACCCAAACCCATAGGCCTAAATCATACGACTAAAAATGGAATTGGTCCAGATCCACGAAAGTACCGAGGAATCAAAGTCAACGAAAACAAACAAAACTAATCGTTCTGCAGTTTGCAGGTGCGGTCTGAAAGGACAGCCAAGAGTCTCGTACTCACGTAACATGGTCCCTAAGGCACGACTACTCCTGCTGAACTCACCTAACAATCCTGACAGAGCGAAGGAACACTAAAAGAAACCATCCATTCCACGGAACTTCAACGGACAATAAACACTAACTGCACCAACTCCAACCAAAAGTTAGTAAAAACGGCCAAAAGTGGCCAAGTTGAAGGGCTCTTACCTCCCCGCTGGATAATCCTCGGGTGATGGTATTCTCCTGCCCCCAATCACAGGGCACATTAAGCCCAAATCAGCATTATAAAGTCAAATTCGAATACAAAAATAAGCATTTAAACCGATTACAGAACAAACAACTCTCTAAAACCCAACTAAGTACAAAGGATGGAATTGCAATAAGGGATAAACAGACCGTATCGTTTCTCCAAGTGTACGATAGCAAGAATCAAGCTCCTTGGTCTGACAGGGTAATATCCAAAAATATATCTAGGTATTGTTAACAATATCGGCCGGTTTCAGGTCTTTAATGTTCCAAATGCCAACGTCGCATCCATTTTCGTCCATTAACAA